GATTTATATATATGATCAAATGTTTGTTTTTACCTCACTGTGAAACCGTTGCATGGCTGATTCATTGTCTGCTGCTCTCAAGAAAAGGAAAAGCTTCTTCACGTTTGGTTGAATCCTCAATATTTTCTCCACAAACACTATGATAATTATAAAAATTATTAGATAAAATTTGGAGTCATTAATTATGTTAGAAAATTAATTAGTTAAACAAAATAATTTTGCTGAGGAAATTATGCGGAGATGGGAAGTGGTTCACCATCGCAACTGATAGCATTAGTCAAACTTAGAATTAGATAGATTCCAGATGAAAATAGAAAGAGCCTAAACGAGACTTTAATATTGCTCTATGGACGACAAAATGAATATTATAATATCGAAAAATTTATGTTATTCATGAAATATATATATATATATATATATATATATATATATATATATATATGCATACGAATTTAAATAAGGAATAGCCAGTGACTAATTAATGAACCGTAGTCACTAAAACAATTAACACAAACATTGGATTGAATCACAAAATCTTGTTTAATTTGTATGGTAACGGATCCAAGTCGGTACCTTTGGCGAGGAAACCGGGAACACCGGTGACGAGAATCGTCTTGTTCTGGAGGAACTGAATGCAATTGGACTCCATGAAAACACTAATATCTATAAAATGAATAACTAAGTGAGATAGATTGTTTTGGACCATATGATCTTCGGAGTTGAGGTACGAATATATACACCCGTAAATGTTGACCGGTTTTGTTGAACCATCATATCTACTATTTTTGTACGTAGGCCTACCTACATTTAATTATATTTTTTAGAGCAATATTAAAATTTCTTCAGATTAAATATCACATATCCAAATCCAATTAGAACTTGCTCTGAAATCTCGGAGCTCTAAAAGGAGAAAACAAAAGGTAATCCATCTTTACAAAATTAAAATATTTTAAATACAAATAGTGTGCCTAACTTTTAAACTAATGGAATGTTAAAAATAAAACTAATTAAATTTAAATATTTTAAAATTAAATATGTATGATTTTTTTATAACATAGAAGAATTAATTTTTAAAATTTCAGTATAAGCGATTTGAAATTATGATTAATAGAATTTAGTTTAATTTCTATTTTTAGTTTATGATGGATACCAAATTATTTTTAAAGAAATTGTTTGACACCTATTTACAATTTATTAGTGACTATAGTTATATACTTTTATAAATTATTGAAGTTTTTACTGTTTATTTAATAATGATATGAAACTGAACGTTGGCCACAAAAATCCAAGAATGCATGGCAATTAAAAAAGGGCAAGCGATAAAGATACGTTAAAATAACAAAACCAATGATAATGCCTAGATTCTGGAACGTCACTATTGCAAGGTAAAGGGTTATGAATGTTTTAAAAGAAAAGTAGAAACTCTAGGTACAGCAATCGAGCCTTTACGAGAGGAGTAGGATAGTGTTCGTGTGCATGTTCCACGACAAGTTACCAATGAAGCATTTAGATTGTAGCTCCACAATTAGTCCACAATTGGTTTGCTAGAATTATCTATGTTGTAGAACTAAATTTTAGGTGTGATGACTTGGAAGGTTGGCGTTCTAGTTTAAGAGCTTTACAACAATCCTCATAGTATAAAATCTTCCTTCTAAGAACCATATGTTCATATGTCATGTTGATGTCCCCTTGAACTTAGGGATCTATTACTTGAGAATTGTGAAAATTTTGATCATATGCTCGTTTGAGCTTCCCTCCATGCAAGAGTCACTTTTCTTATTTTTCTTGTGACACAAAAATAATAAATATAAGATCGTGTTTAACTGTTTATACATCATGATATTTGTAAGAATAAAATTTGTTAGATCCAATTTTATGCAAGTGTCAAGTATCTATATAAATAAATTCTAATTTTCATGCTCTTTAAGAAACAAATTAAAGAATTCTTTACCTTAAGTCCTTGTTTGATCGCAAAAACACGTTTATAGTTCATAAATTAGGATCGGTTACTAGAATTTAACCAAGGAAAAAAAGAGAAATATATAGAATTCATTCATTTAAAGTCGTAACATGTAAATTGTCCCAAGGGCGGCTCTATTCAGCCTCACCTATATGGGTCATATATAATTAATTTGGAGTTTTAACAAATTTTTTTGAAAAAACCATATTTCATTTAAATTTCAAATGAAAATAGTGGAAAACAAAAGAACAAAGATGATACATGATTTTGTAATATTTCATCAATTGCACTATTTTAGAATTACGATTTTTAAACTCCGCCTAGATGTTTGGCCAAAATAGAAAAAGATGTACTCATCAAATATTATACTTAAATTTTCATGTTTTCTTCCAATTTATTTTATTTCATTATTTTAAATTTTATATATTTAAATAATAGCTAATACATTATACATCTAGTTTTCTTTGTGAAACATGACTTGCCTGGCAAAATATGTATAATTCGGAGTAATTTCATTTCGAAAGATGTCAGCCAACAGCACAAATTATGTGTATAGTTAGACACATTGAATAGCATATATATTTTTTTGTCACAAAATAGCATATGTATATATATATATATATATATATATATTATATATATATAAGCATAATTATATATAAAAACACGTGTATCTTATCAGAAATTATTTTAAAAGTATATTACAAAGATCTGGGAAGTATAGATAATTACTTTACTAAGCATAATTTCAAAATTTACTAGTATTTTATAAATATGATGATAGAAAATTGTAATGCAAATGTTACCTCATTTTCCCAAATTTTCTGTGTGATACATTTTCATTATACCCGCATCGCATATTACGCATCGCATATTACGCATCGCTTCACTGTAATGCAAAATGTTAACTCATTTTCCTAAATTTACTATTTCCGTAATATTGTAATTACTTTATACCCGCATATTACATATTAATGCAAAATGTTATCTAAAAGAATTAGTAAGTGGAAGCCCATTGGCCCATTGGTTGACTAAGGGTTACTTAATGCTTTTACACCAAGAGGTCTGGGGTTCGAGTCCTAGATATTGCGATTTATTAATAAATTTGCAGATTAAAGGAGGCAAGTGTGCAGGAGATCTCCAGCGAAGTACAATTATAGCCGTTCGCCAGGATTCTACGCAGAGAGAGAAGTGTCGTCAGGTCGTGGATCATTGAAGGTGTCCGTCAAGAGCATGGAGAAAGAAGTGTCGTCTGTCGTGGATCTAATAAGGGTCGGAAGGAATTGTCCGTTGTAGAATCATCTATGTAACAATTCTCATAATTTGCAATAAATAATAAATCTAGACGTCAAAAAAAAAAAAGAATTAGTAAATAACTGACATTTTCGATAAGACATACGTAATATTGTAATTACTTTATACCCACATATTATGTATGTCTTATAAAAAGTGTCAGTTATTTACTAATTTTTTTTAATCTATGCCTATCCAACCAAAACATCTTATAATTTCAAAGGAAAAAGAACTATCTAAAAACCTGATTCGGTCTTAGGTTTGGTTGGTCATAAATTATGCAACAATGACGTAACAAGCTAAAACGTCTGGGAAACGTCAATTTTTTTGGTAAAGCGACAGAAAATACCTAACCCCATACATTAGGAAGAATTAAGTCTGAACTTGTAGAAATGCTTGACCTCAAAATTTATATAATATGCTGGAGTTTTAGAAATACAAGTCATCGTTTTTTTATAATTTACACTTACTAACTTGCAAAGTTACACAGATGGTAACAGTTTACCCTATCTGATATTGTTCCATTTGTTTAGAGAATTTGATTACCTGATTAAGTACGAAATTTAAACTATATATTAAAGCTGAATAAAGTTGTGTCCTTAGTCAAATCGATTTACTACGATGGTTTATTCTCTTCAATTAGTAATTAGTTCATATACGATGGATACGATATCATGGGATTAGCTTGGACTTCATTTTAATATTGAATTTAAAATTTCAGAAACATGACATATTTATTTTTTCTACACGGCATATTTCCATAAATAACGAACTGCTCAGCCCCGGCCCAACTGTAAAAAGAGCCATAGGGCAAAAAAGAAATTTTTGGGCTTTTATTGAAATTTATTCTAAATTATATATACTAGATCATAATCCGTGCTATAGCACGGATGTGAATTTTTTTTTAATAAAATTAAATTATAAAAGGTGTATTAAAAAGCAAATAATATAATAGAATCAAAATTATAAAATATATGTCATGTGTAATTTTATTTGTTAATAGGATTAAATGTTGTATTATATTTAATTATGTGTGAAAAATGTTTTCTTAATAAAAGATTAGATAATATTGTAATGTATATTAAAATGTTGAGAGATATATATCAAATTGGGCCAAGTTGGGTTCAATGTTTAAGTTGCAAAATAAAAATAGGCCCAATTTTTATGTAATAAACTTTGATTTTGTTTTAATAATAGGATAAATGATTTTAAAAAACAAGAAAATAATGTTTTCGAAAAAAAAAAGACATAAAAAAGAACGACGGCTACTGCTTCGTTTTCGATTTCTGATAATGGAGAGAAGTCGCAATCCTTGTAATAAACATCTTTCGATGATTTTGATTTCTAATTCTTCTTAATTCGAGCTTCCCAGATTGATAAATGCATGCAATTTCATTCCTCTCAAACAATTTCGGAATTGAAGAATTCAAGAACTATAGTTCATCGATTATGTTCCGGATCAGTGGAATTAGAAATTCTTCTTAAAGGTACATCGAATTCTCAAGTTTAATCGTGATTGAATTGATTAGTGATTGAATTGTTATGTTGTAAGGAATTCAACAAATTATAGAGACCATTTATATATCGTGGATTGAAATAATGTAATACAAAATGCAAAATCTTGATTTGATCTAATCTTATGAGGTGATAGACCCCAATAATGGCGAGTGACAGAAGTGAAAGGAGAAGAAGTCTAAACATATTGTCCCACAACTTGCAGAAAGGAAAACTGAAGGTAAGATGTTCAATCAAATTGAATCATCGAATTAGCTAACGAAGGTTTTGGAAGACTTCTTTAAAAACAACATTCATTGTTTTGGTCTGAGGTTTACCTTTCTTGTCGGTGATAAGAATCTTCAAACCTGATTTTGACGTCACTCTAGATATTGCCACATATAGTTGCCCATGTGAAAAAACCGGCCTAGGCAAATAAAGTCCAACATTGTCTAGTGTCTGTCATTGACTCTTGTTTATGGTCATGGCAAAAGCTACAGATAGGGGAAATTGCCTACGCCTCATTTTGAAAGGCAATCTTGCATCTGATGGTGTTATGAGCATCCTAGGAATAAGAACAATCTTACCAACTTTATTACCTGTAATAACTCTAGCTTCGATAACTGTATCTGCCATTTGAGTGATCTGTAGTCTTGTCCCATTGCATAAACCTTTGTTAGGATCCATGTTTCTGATCAACATGACCGGACAACCAATTTTAAGGTGCAAACAATGGTTAGGCAATCCAGAAACTCTGATACTGTTTAGAAAATCAGGAGAATAAGCTTCATTATTTGTAGAACTTGTATCAACAGGGTCTATACTGTCAGAGCTTAGGTAGATTCTTTCTTCACCTACAGACGGAAGGAAAACAATTGTAAATAACTAATAAAGCTGTTTTGAAATTAAATTAGCTAACTTAAAAAATACTAACAGATGTTGATGGAAGTAGTTACCATTCACCATGTTCAACATATGCTCATTTATGGAGTTCACATCTTCATTAGTAGGACAAAGAATAGCTCTTCCTTGAAAGAACTTAGGGTCACTCTCGTCCATAAAATTATTTCCATAAACAGCCTGTATAATTGATTCGACCGGATCATGATCCTGAGTAATGAGAAACTCTTCTGGGATATCAATCTGAGCAATTCCATCATTAGGCTGAGCAATTTTACCATCCCCAACATCTAATATCCACTATGAAAATTCCTCGATATTACGCTTTTCATGCTCACTAATGTTTGCGAGAAGTCTCATGTTTTTTGTTAGTTCCAAAACTTTGCAATGCTCCCATATATAAGATGAATTTAATGCAGCAAAAACGATTTCCTCCCTACCAGGACCATTGATCACTGGTAATACCTGTCTGAAATCACCTCTTGATTGCTCGAGTAATTACCCGATACACTTAACCGCAAGGTAGTATATACGGGGTCGATCCACAAGAACTAATGGTACACTAAAGATTTCCGAGACTCGTTCTTAGCTAAAGCTAAAAGGTTGTTTTGTTTTGGGGTTTCAGAATTGTAAATAAAAATGCAATTAAAATAGACGATTTAACTTCAAGATTTAAAGACATTGGGCGTTAGGGTATTTCAGAGATCAACGAATAATGGAAACATGAAACCAGTAATTCAGTAATTAAGAACCGTTCTCGAACATGAACACATTTAAACCAATTCTCTTTCAAGACATTAATCACTAAATTTGACTATTCGATTACTAAACTTTCGCATGCAATTTCCTAGTCAAATTCGCATTACCAAACAAGTTCATTAAGTTCACAATGCGTCCTAACGTCAACTTTCGTTGGCTAGAAATACATTGCTCAATCCACATTCTTTCAGGCATTCTATCGAACACTTTTGATGCATAGAAAAACCTAGAATCTACAACAGGGTGATCAATCCTATTCTAGCATTAAGAACATGTGAATCAAAGAACCTAGAGAATGAGAATTCCTAGCACAATCAATCCATTAATCCATTTAATCTCCTAATTGGAACCCTAAAACCCAATTGGAGAACTACTCACACATAGAGAAAGAGAAAAGGCAAATAGATATGAAAGAAAACATGATTCAATAAATAGAAAAGGAATAGGGTTTAGAAATCTTCTCCAAGTGTCAAGAGGATGGATTCCTTTGCCCAAAGTTGTTTACAAACCAAAGAACCAAATTTAGAACTGAAAAATATCAAGGATAATGTGTAAAGAGTCGAGCATAGGGTTTTAAAACAATAGGAAACGAGCCGGGTCGGATCTGGAGTGAATCGGGTCAATTTTGGGCCAAAAGTACGTCTGGGGAAGGGATCGATCGATCCGGTGGGTGGATCGATCGATCCCGAGTCACTGGAAACTGCTTCTCGTCCGTCAGAGGATGGGATCGATCAAGTGTATCGATCGATCTGGATCTTCTGGTCTCCAACTCCGCAACTGCTTCAAATGCTCGATAGAATGACCTGTCTTCACTAATTCGGGTATAACTGTTGAATGCACCGTTAGATTTCCTTCAAACCACTTGTAAACTCAAGCTAACATCTTCATCTAACTTGTGTCAAAAATGAAAGATCTAACGGTGGAAAATATTCCATGTGAGGCAAAACGTCTGATATTTCTAAACGAAACTACATCTCCAAAAGTGTGTTTATATCCCAAAACAGCTCGTTTTCCTCCGAAGCAACCTAAAACCTGTAGAAACTCGATAAAAGACTAAAAGACTCTAAAAACACACTTTGAATCGATAAAACATATGATGTAAGAAAGAAAACAAAGACTCAAAACCGATAAAAACACAACATATCACCTCCAAAAACGATAACCTTCCCACCAAAAGGCTTATCATCTGGATTATTCATAATATCTCTTAAAGTTCTATCCAAAGACTCAAAGCAATGCTTGCTCATCATAGGAGTTTCATCCCAAATAATAAGTTTAGCCTCTGTAACTAACTCAGCAAGATCTGTTCCACGTGAAATGTTACATGTAGACGACTCATTAGGATTTAAAGGAATTCCAAACCTTGAGTGGGCAGTTCGACCGCCATCTAATAGCAGAGCAGCAATGCCGCTAGATGCGACATTTAAAGATATGTCTCCTTTTGATCTAATAGCAACAGAGAGTAACTTCCAGAGAAAAGTTTTCCCAGTACCTCCAAAACCGTAAATAAAAAAACACTCCGCCTTTGTCATGTATCACATCATCCATTTTTTTTTTTTTTTTTTTTGTAAATGGTACTTAGATTAATAAAGAAGGTCAACTCCTAAGTGAGATACACACAAACGAGACGCCGACTTAGCTAAAGTGTCAGCTTCAACATTGAGTAAACGGGAAACATAATGAAATGAACAAGAACGGAAACCAGAGCACATCTCTCTGATATCTTCCAATAATCCATCTAGTTCATTTGCTTGACCATCGGCTACGAGAAGACAAACAAGGTCTTGACAATCCGAATAACAGGCAAGTCTGGAGACACCCAGTGCCAAAGCCGCTGCGATAGCTGCTTTCAAGGCAAGGGCCTCTGCTACGAGAGCCGAGGCAACATTGGGTCGAGAAGCGGTTCCCTGATGGAACACTACATTTTGCGGATTTCTAAAAATCCAGCCCATACCACAAACCAGTGAGTCAGCCAGCCAAGAAGCATCTGAAAAGCAGGAAGTCGCCTCACTGTGTGCTGCAACCCCTTCTTTACTCTTCTGGCATGGTTTTTTCAGAGTTTGCGCAAGCTTAGCCGACTGCCAACTTCGAGCTTCTTTTATCGCTTTCAGGATAGTCTCCTCTGCTGAGACCAATTTTTCTTCAAAGATGAGAAGGTTCCGGGCTTTCCATATGAACCAAAGCACCCACGGATACAGTGGGGTGATTCCCAGTCCAACAGGAGGCAACGACACCATCTTACTAGCTAACAGCAGCCAGTTCTACAGAGACTCCACTCCGATCCCTGCAGGTTTGAATTGCGCAGGAACCAAGTCCCAAACTCTACTCGCAAAAGGACATCGCAAGAATACATGAAGCGAGTCTTCCTCCTCTCCACATCTTTTACAGACTGCTGCAGCCACAACCCCTCTAATAGCAAGCGCCTTTCCCAGTGGTAAAGCATTACGTGTTGCTTTCCACAGGAACATTCTCAACTTTGGTGAAGTGCAAACTCGCCACACATTGGTGCTCCATTTGAAACAGTCCACAGTTGTCAGAGAATTAGAGGTCTGTCCAACAAGGTACCCTGACTTAGAGGTATAACCACCAGCCTTTAGAGGAAGCCACCTTAACTTATCCGCCTTGGGTCGAGAACTCAAAATAATTTTGAGAATATCCTCCTCATGATGAGGTACATGCTTCCTTATAGCTTCAAGATTCCACATAGTGGTATTAGGAAGAAGAAGGTCTTTAACATTGAGCCGAAGATCAGACTGAGTAGGAGGACCAAATGGGCACAAAGGCTCCGTAGGAGACAGCCACGGTGAGTTCCAAACATTTGCAGTTTCTCCATCACCAATAATCCATCCTAAGCCTTTCTTTAAGATCTCCCTTCCTTTAATAATACCCCTCCACCCATGGGAAGCATTTGTGGGAACACTAGCCTCCATAAAGGAAGAAGAATGACAATATTTGCCCAATATGACTTGAGCAAGTAGGGAATCCGGTTGTTGCAAGAGCTTCCAACCAATTTTCGCAAGAAGGGAGTCATTGAAAGAGGTAACCTCTCTAAATCCCAACCCACCGTTTTCTTTAGCTAAAGTAAGCTTATCCCACGCCACCCAACACATCTTTTTCTTATCCGGATTATCATCCCACCAAAACCGGGTAAGCACCGATTGAATTCTCTTACACAGAGACATTGGAATTTTGAAGCAAGACATAGCATACGACGGCATAGACGCCAGGACTGCCTTTAAGAGAACTTGCTTTCCCGCTCCGGAAAGGAATCAGTTAGACCACGACAAAGCTCTTTGTCTTATCTTATCCACTATTCCCGTAAATATGTCCTTCTTCTTTCTACCAAAATGTTCGGGAAGCCCAAGATACTTTCCAATCCTACCTTCATTGCTAATTCCCAAAGCCTTTTTAACTCTCTCCTTAACCTCCGGAGGCGTCTTAGAAGAGAAAGTTATACCGGATTTATCCGCATTGATGCATTGTCCCGAGGCTTCCTCATAAATTTGGAGATATTTCATGAGAGTCACACAACTTTTCAAACTAGTTTTACTAAAAAACATAGTATCATCCGCAAAGAGGAGATGATTGATTAATGGACTTCTCCTAGATACTCGGACACCCGGGAGATTGCCTTTCCTTTGAGCACTTAAACAAAGTCCCGAAAGAACCTCCGTACACAAAATGAAGAGATACGGCGAGAGAGGATCCCCTTGGCGAAGACCTCTAGAGGGAATCACCGATCCATGTGGAGCTCCATTGATGAGGAAAGCATAGCTCACGGAAGAGACACATTCTAGAACCCAACCTATCCACATATCGTGGAACCCAAACCTTTTAAGCACCGCATGAAGAAAAGGCCACTCAATACGGTCGTACGCCTTACTCATATCCGTTTTAACCGCCATTGAACAATGAACTTTAGCTCCGGACACTTTAAGGAAGTGTAACACCTCATGTGTGATTAAAACATTATCCGAGATTGCTCTTCCCGGCACAAACGCGGACTGATGCTTGGACATAAGAGAAGAAAGGAGGGGCTGGAGCCTTTTAGACAAAATCTTTGCAATTATCTTGTAATGCACACTACACAGTGCGATAGGCCGATAGTCTGAAACCTTTTTTGGACCAATGATCTTTGGAATTAGTCTAATATGAGTTTCATTATGACGCTGATGGAGAACTCCAGTTACAAAAAAGGCTCTAATCTC